CTTCTATCTCAAGTGTCAAAAGTCACTCAAGTCGTTCTTCGATAAGTGTCTCTCAAGTGCCACTTGGCACTTGGACTATAAATACGGCCATAAAAGGACGTTGATTTTTACCAATCATGAGTTTGTGTAAATTTTAAATCTGATGTTGTCTCGCCTAAACTTAACGAAATAAACGATGTTTCAGAATTTTTACGTCACACTTTGACTGAGACCCAGGAAAAATAGGAATATCATAACCGCCTATTCAATATATTTTCGCTTTTAAAGTGATAACTTCTTGTGGGATGGTGAACCGATTTTTCTCGGTCAAGGCGAGCCCCACTCCGGCCTCTTCGCGCCTGAGGCTTGGGACGCACATATGCACATTTTTGTTAGTCCGGGTGCATCTGTAGATCTGATAAACTTTTCAAATCAGAATAAATTGAATAGGCGGAAAAGCGCTGACCATGACAATACGGATGGTTTCTTTTTCACTTGCAGATCGAACGGAACAACGGCGAAGAGAGTGAAGTCGAGTGCAGCGAGAACATCCAGCAATCGGTGCAATACACCAACTACCCGTTGGAGAACTTAATGCCCGATACCATTTACAAAGTGGAATTGAGGGCTCACAATGCGATAGGCGACAGCACACCCGCCACCATCCGAATACGGACAGCACGAGGTGAGCCGCATCAGTATTTTAACTACAAAACTGACTTTGTGGGAAGTGGATGTGGTGTGATTTGTGCCAATTTTCGTTTTTGTTTCGTTGTGATTTTGTTTAAGCTTTTGTCGTATTTTGTTTGAACGATCGCATACTCTGAGTTGAATGAACCCGATGGTTCGCCTTGAATTTGAAGGGCTCAAGACATTAATTAGCGTTTTTTTTCGTTTATTTTTTTTGTATGAAACTGACTGAAACTGGAAGTTTGCTAAAAACGTACAGCTTTCCATGGGAGATGCTTTTCAGCGGCCGAAGCTTTACGTTTTTGCCTGTTGCGTGCAAGGTTGAGGTTTCACTAACTAATTTGTTTACAATTTATGTTCTTCAGAAGGAAAACCCTGGACGAACTCATCATCAAGATCATATTCTTTATTCGTCCTAGAGGCCGCTTTGACATTTGCTTTATTATACAACATGCGAAACTATTAATGAACGTAAATTCTAGGTGTACAAACTAGGCGCATAATAATAATATGAATGTTTATAATGTTTTCACATTGTCAAATTCAAGATGCCCATCAGGTTTTTGATATGAGATGGATACCGAAAAATTCCCTACACCAACGTTCGTTCCTGTCGCACGCATCACATAGTTAAATATTTAGAAAATCCAAACGCAACAACACGCGCCAATTTTTTCCTTAAAACACACCTACAGGGTGTCGTTGAACATTTCAACCTTGAATCTATAGCGTTTCGCGAAAAAAGTGCGCCCAAAACATACACAATAAATTATGATAGTATATATATAAGCACACTCCAATACAACTTTCGCTGTTTTATCCCACTTTTCTTTACTTTAAAAGTCCTTTAACTTGAACACGTTTAGAACAACTGCCACCAATAATCCAATGTAAATACGTTAAATACGCAATTTTTATTGCTTCTCTTGAATTTGACAATCAACCGGTTTTACATATAGATATATAAATAAAACAATAAATGTGATGTTTATCTGTAAGTGATATATCAGTGTAAGTACAATTTAGTTCAAGACTTTAATTTCCGTTTGTTTGGCTTCGCAATGATTTACTGCCTAGACACGTAGTTTTACGTGCGAAACAGTTGATTAAAACCCGAGGAGATACTTTACATATCAGGCCATTCATCTGTTTTTTAAATTGCGTATTGATCGGCTAAATCGTTTCGGCAGTAAATTTACCATATCGGTGTCCAAAAAGCTTTAAATAATAATGCATGTCTCGTTACAAAGGCTCAACGGCTTTATAGAGTCGGCTGCTGCTCGCCGTGCATGTCCAATATTTGCAATAAATTCCGTTTTTTACTTGATA